TGAACTCCTCCACCCAAATCCCATGATCAAAATTCTCATTCCCACAGCGCATTGCTCTTCTATGAGGATGACAGCTACAGCTGAACAGTTGAATTGGTTCTTCTTTTCCATTCATGAGTGCATCCAAATGATTTACAGACCACTTCCTGTGCTCCAATTTAACAGGGTTACAACACTGGCATTCATTGTCCTGGCATTTGTTGCTTGGAAGCACCAGGGCTTGTCTAGCCTTCATCATACTAGTGTCCAGAATGTCTCCTAATCTCTTCCCAAGTTTTATCAACCCCATCTTCTTGATACTGTGGTCAACAAATGGTCTGTACCTTGATGTTGAACTCCACTTGAAGTTGGACAAGTTGCTACTTGCTCTTGATGGCCGTGAAGGTGTGCTTGTCTGACTCTCATATGACATTGTTCTCATTGGAGACGAAGGAACAGTACCATTTTTCTGTTCAGTATCATCAGCATCATCATCATCATCTTCATTGCTCTCAACCTCCTCTTCCTCATCATCATTATCATCGTCAGATAATGAAAAATAAGTTTCATTGTCATCAAGATTCAAGTCAGAGGCTGGGCACATATCATCTGCAAAAAATTACTTCCAGATAAATAAATAAATAAAAATACAAAAGTAAACTCCACTGAATTTAAAAAACTAACAAACTAATACATGTAAGCTAATACTATTCACACCTGAGCAGGCAATGTAATACTACTAACTGAATCATTCTTGTGGTTACGAGAATCAAGGAAATGATTGCCAACCTTAGAAGCTTTGATTTTTAAACAAATTCTCCTTCTAATTACAGAGAAATGTATAGAGAAGAGTAGGGAGAATAAGGATACTGATGTTAGTGAATGGAAGGTTAACTTGTTTTGCCATCATTTAATAATTATTTGCTGAAGGCAAAGTGGATATTGCTGAATAATCCCCAAACAAAAGTTAGTACATTTACTTAATTGGTGCTTTCAAATTCTGTTGTGAATTTTTTTTATGTTACATGTAAAACCATTTGGCATTAATTGTTTTGATTTCTCAGAGCAAGTTAAAGAGCCAGTTTCTGCTAGAATTTGAAAGGTTTGTTTGATTCAATTGATAAAAAAGTCCATGATGTCTTTCTTTTGAAAAGTATTACTCCAAACCTTATAGCATCTTTTGCATTCTTAAGAATTGAATTTTCTCTATTGTGTACATCACTTCCTCTGTAACAATGAAAAAAATGCAAGGTAGCCTTTTTAAAATTTAGCGCCTCAGTACTATAAACACCTCGTGCAAGGTGATGATGGTAAGATGAAATGCAATCCTCAACCAATCAGAGTTTGAGCATCTCTGTAAGCACTGGAGCAATTATGATAATAAGGATTACACACATTCATGTTGTGGCTGAATTTTTTAACTTTGGACTAAATTGTAATTTCTTGTGTTTCAAACCCAAAATTTCCCATTAACCCTTCAACTCCCAAGATCTGATTGTTAATTCTCCCTTCTAGCCTCTACATATTTCCTTGAATTAGTAAAAGAAATTTGTGTTAGATCAAGATAACAGCTTCTACCTGATAAGCTTGAGTATTCTTTTTATGTGCTTGCTTGACAATGTATGGATATTATACTTAGAAGTTATATGTTAATCACTTCTGGGAGTTAAGAGGTTAACACACCCAAAACAAAGGAAAATAAAGCTGAAACCCATGCACAAAATTTAGCTACCATACATATATACATACCCAATCTTCCAAGACCAACATCTAACCAATCTTGCCAAACTTTTGTCTCATCTGGATTCACACCAACAAACTTAGCAATCGAATGTAGCTTGTGATATAATTCTCTGGTTACATTCAACCACAAACACAATGTTTCAAAGTTCCTTGTGAAATCTTTGCTTGTGTACTTTTCATTTTGCTCTCCAAGGTTCTTACGAGTGGGATAAAGATGCTCAATCATTTCCAATTTGTCAAAGAGTTCTGTAACTTGATCTATGGCGGCTTTTAGCTGACAGTATGTTTTATCTGAGAAACAATCCTCTCTTGCTTCACTGAGACACTGTTTCTGGTTTCTATGATTAAAATCTAGTGAAAGTCTGCTTCGTAAAGCTTTGTAATCTGGCGCATCTCTGTCAAGGTCATTTTTAAAGCTATCTGTCTCAGTAGAAGAAAGCTCACTGTTTTCATTTACACAATGTTCTGTGTCAGATGTCTCCAAAGTCTGAAAAAAATTTTCTTGATCTGCTGTATAAGAATTGTGCACTGAAGGATCAACTGAATGTGATGACTGTGTTGAAGTAGGCAAATCATCGTTGGTACTACAGGCAGTTCCATCAGTATCAAGAACACCAGAATCTCCTTTTGCATCTTGATTTTTTTCACAATTGTTTTTCTCAGTTTCTTCATTCAAAGTCAGACTGTCCCCATCTTGTTTCTTAACTTTAAAATTTATAATCTCATCTAGCACCTCTTCCACATTAGCACGAGCTTGAACTAAATACTGATCTTGTTCTGCCATGGTTCGGTTTGCATGCCAAGCCTGCAGTTCAAGCCAAAGTGCTTGTGACAATGCCACTTGCCATTTTTTATTTTCTTCTGAACTTTGCCTCTCAAGGGCACTGTTATCAACTCCATACTGTCTTTCTTGCTGTTTATGAGCCAATGATAGTTTGATCAAAAGAGAAAATGTTCTATAGAACTCCATTCTCGCCTCTGGACAATAGGGATTGAGAAAATTTTTAGATGTAGAAGAACTATGAGGATCAGATTCTGAGCGAGATGCTTTCTTGTGTCCTCCGGCGTTTCTTCGAGTAATGGCACCAGATTCCGTGACAGTGCTGGCACGCATATATATGCCTGAAGTATCGGAAGAATCTTCGCAAACGCAGTCCAAGGACATGAATGGACTTGAGGTTTCGATCTTGATGCTGGGCACATCTAAAGACTTTGAAGTGTCTGACGAATGGACACCACTTTCAACACTGACAAACCCAACATCAACACTGCCTCGCTTGAGTTGTCTCTGGAAGGCTCGTTCAGTTGTCAGCTGAGTAGAACCCCGCTTTTTCCGTCTGTCCAGCTCTGTTCTTTCCGAAGGATTAGATCCATATGGACGAGTTACAGGACTTTTAAGGAGAGAGATCACTTTATCTTTTTCTCTTCTTGACTTCTCTTTGCGCCTTCTTATATTTCTCGGCGGAGTTACCCCGTATGGAAAACTGTCGGAAAGCTCATTCTCAGATGACAAATCAACAATCTCTTCGCGCTCAGAGTCAAACTCTGAGCCAGATCCTCTGTCATCCGCAGGAAATATTTCAACCCCCAAACATCCCTGGTTTTCAAAAATTTCTGCTGGATCGATTTCGTCGCAAGGCGAACCTGAGATTTGTTGCTGCTCATCCGAGACGTCCTCTACCTCCGCCATTTTGTTTGTTGAGTGTAAGGTTAGGTCCCAGTTTCAAATGAGCACGAGCGAGTATTCGCCCGAAACTACGGGTAACTTTCCCGATCTTTCGTGTAATTCCCTACTCGTTTAGGCTTATTTTAATTTTTCTCTTCCTGATTTAAAAACTGAACTCGCGGTCACGTAGGGTCGTTTACATGTTTATGTAGTTCCTATTCATATCAAGCACTTACGAGTTCAGTTATCTGAGAAACAAGGAAAACAGTCACAAATTTTCTAAAAGTTGACTGGTATTGACAGCTTTCTTAAGTTAGGGATGTAGTCAAATTTATTCAAAACAATACCCCTTTCCTTTTGAAAACTCTACGGTACCAATTTCAAAAGCTAATTGCTCACTTGATTCTTCCCACTTTCAGCTTGTGTGTTGGCTTAATGGTTTTTCTTCTTTGCTAGTTTTCCAGCTTTTGGTCAGAATACTAAAGACTTCCTGATGTTATGTGGGCTAATGCAGAAAATGAACATCATTGACAAGGCTGATATTGCGATTAGTTTATCGCAAAGAATTAATCCTGATCACATCATGCAACAATGAAAGCTATTACAGAAGAAAATGACCAAAACTCTATCAAATCAGTTTGATTCTCTCAACTGGTTCATGTTCGTTTTCTGGTGAAAATCGTGTCTGTGAAAGGATAAGCCAGAGCAATGATATTTCAGAAGAGAGTGTGTTGCCCTGATTTAGGTTCAACTATTTTTATTTTCAATAAACATGACCTCAAAGCCCCAAATTTTTGTTCAAATAGGACCGTGAAAGTAGGTTATAACCCAAGTAAAAAAATTAGCAAAACTGTGCATAAAATCACACACATTGAAAAATAGAAGAATGTTTTCAGGGAAATATTTTACTTACAACTCACCTATTTATTCATTGATGAATGGATAAGGAATTGATAAATGCTCTATTTTTTTTTCTGACAACAGAGCATTTCCTTCAAAAGGTCTGTCAGGTCATGTCTGGAAATCATCACAAAATTATTCAATTTTTCTGCATCTTTCAAGAGTGACAAGATCTTAAGATATTAATGGTCTTCATATAGGGTGCATTTTCCAGCAACCTTGTTTTTCAAAACAACCCTGAACAACAGAATTGTAAAACCTGTAAAGTTCAGTAATATGTACACAAAATCTCAAGTTTCCTTTTAGCATATGTTTTATTTTGTACAGTTCAACCTTAAGTTACAACAATATGCAGATCTCTGTACAAACAATATTTTGATTTCAGTCTCAGACTTTTTTGTAGTTATCTACTAGCTTTCATCAAGCTGTGAAAATTGTGGATGATTCTATTAGAATAATAATCTAATTAATAATTTTTCCTTTAACTAATAAATAAACTTTCCTAAATCTGTAAATTTTATAATACATGTTTGGTATCAATATACAATTATTCAACAATCTAGGTTTCAAATCATGAATTTGCAATACTATTTACATCTTGCATGATACATTGTAGACACTAAATTGCTCAAATTTTTTTTCACGGTGCAATTTTTATTTTATAGCATTATAAATGTAAATTAAAAAAATTAAAAAACATTTTTTGCACCAGTCTGGCCCACAAAATGTACCAAAATTGTAAATAAAGTTAAGATTAATACAAAGAATAGAAATTTTTGAAAAAGCACTATGAAAGTTCAAAACCATTAAAAAAAACGACAACAATACCTTATGCAACCTAAAAAAAACATTACTTTCAGATTCAGGAAAACCTTACAATTACGAAGGATTATGATGTCTAGGGGAAAATAATAGTTATGAATTTTACGGCTCACTACAAAATCTCACAAATAGGATCTCCTTGGAAACTAATACACATTTATCTTAAATTTACGTGCAATCTATAAAAAGTTCACTCTACAGGATGAGAAAGCACTTTTACGAATAATGATCCATTTTCCAATTCCAGCTACATGTCACGGAAGTCGAAATTTGCCTCAAAAGTACCAAAACATACAGTAATAAATTATCCTTTTTATCTGTGTAAGCTTTCTTTAGAAAACCTAGATTCCTTTGAGAATTGACTACAAAATCACAAATTTCGTCTACGAATGGAAACTGCGTAGATCTTTTGTATTGAAGCGTAAATGAGATTTATGCAAATACGTCGTCGTGACAGCAGCCACAAAATACAACAACATACATACACGGAATTTCAACACGAAACCGGTCAACAATTTGACCTTTAGATTCTCTTAAAACATCCGGTAGAAAAAAGTGAAAATTTCGTTTTAGTTGAAATGAAACAATTCCGAGAAATTTTGAAGAAATAAAATCGTAAAAAATTAATTCTGTCGTGGCAAATGCAAAGTGACAATTCTACAACCTTCGTTGCTTGCCTACGTGCAAACTAACAAGGTCCTACGTGCACTAGCGTACAATTCGACATGTGTTGAACCAGATTGTCACATGGTTTTCATTTCGTCCACAATTTTTAAAACGTCCTCGGCAGTAGGTCTGGAGAGTGGGCTCGCATGCCACATCAACTTCATGAGTTCAATATAAGCCGGCGTGTCTGAATCGGTTGATGCCAACGCCGGCAAATTAACAAGCGACGGTCTTAAGTGATGCGCAACTACTCCAAAAATAACGACAAAGTGGCTTTCTAGTCCATAGGGATGTTCCCGGAAAAGCATCTGCCATAGGCAAATGCCAAGTGAGTACATGTCTGCTTTTTCGCTGGGAAGTTCGCCTTTTAACAACTCCGGTGCCCGGTACGCGAATGTTCCAGTCAGTAAACTTCTCGGGCTTGGTGCGGGACTCGGAGGAAGCAATGTTTCGTCCTTAGCAGTTAATCCAATACTCTGACAACATCCAAAATCACCCAGTTTGCAGAGATCTTGGTGATCGACGATAACATTTGCAGGTTTTAAGTCCAAATGTACGAGACTATTCTCGTGGACGAATTTTAGCGCGCAGGCAATGTCACGCACATAATTCCATCGGCGAGAACTACCCAGAACTTCTCGATCATCGTCAATAATCGCCTGTAATGTCCTGTTACCAGCAAATTCCATGAGAATCCACACATCTTGCATATTTTCTAGCTCAAAAACAGCCAGAGTCCGTACAATGTTAGGATGTTTCAAGGGGAGAGCCAATTTCTCTGCTTGAACACTCTCATACAGTGCGTGCGGGTTTTTCATGTTTCGATGCATTTTCTTAACGGCCAGTTTTTTACCATCCAAAAACGCCTCGTACACAGTTCCAAAACCTCCCGATCCTACGAGACGGCCAGTGTTTGGAATCATTTCCTTACCGATATTTTCTGGAACGTGCATCCACCTTGCACTTTCGTTCGTGTTTCTGCAGAGTTCGAACTTGTTAGTTTTGCACGAAAAGTTCGTTGAAGCGACGCAACCGCGACGATTACATTGAAATGGCTTTCCACTGAGGCGTACTTCTTCAAAATTTCCTTCTCTGCATGTGTCTAACATGCTTCCCTTCTTGCTTGCTCAAACGAATGAAGGACTTCACTTAATGACAGTTGTACTTTTCCCTGAACCAGCACAGAACGGCTTAGCTTGTGACATGCATATGACTACAAAAAAGTGAGGTAATCGTTTAAGTGCAACATCCTAATCACAAGTTCAATCTGTGGCGCGCCATAACAAAAACCATAACATAAAACGGTGTTCTGATTGGTTCAAATACCATCTCATTGTTTTTGAGGCCAATCAAAAAGGCTTCTAGAAATATCCGGTATCGAACGTGACACAATAAAGAGGAACTCACAAGGGATGCCAAAAGCTGCCACGCGAATTGAAGAACGTGTTTTAGATGTCGGCGATGCGATCAGTTCTTCTTCCGAAAGAAACTTGTTTTATGTAGATTAAGCATACCACTGGCTTCGTTCTTTAAACTATAATTAGATCGGTAAAAAGCGACAAATTTCCTCCGCCTGATTTAGTGGCCAAAGTTCCCTAGTCCCTTCCCACAGCTCATCACTTATTCAACTTCCTCGAACACTACGTTCTTAAAATTGATTTAATCCCCAAATTTTTACAGTTTTTTCAAAAGTCAGTCGCACAGAAAGGCATCTTTTCGTGTTTTGAACAGTTGATAATTTCAATGATGAAAGCATGATTTATTTACACCAGGATTACAGCTTGTAATTTGTGTACAGCGTTGCATCTACACTATAGAAATTCCTATTTTTGGTAATAAGTAATATTACATCACCTCGGGAAAATTTGGTTTGGGAATATTGAACGCAAAGTGTCCAAGCAAATAATAAAAGCCAAGGCACCCACGAGAGGTCCTCTTAGGTGGAACACCGCTAAGGAAGTAAATAAATAAGAATCTCAATAAAGGGGAAGACATTTTGAGGAATCATTTGCTATTGTGATAAAGATGGTATTAACCTTGAGTCAGTTTCTAGGAAATTTCGCCATTTTCTTTGCTAGTTGACCCTGGTCAGTAATATCCGCTTTCAGTGAAAGAGGGTATCTCCCCGATGACACTTACTAGATTCCAAAGGAATACTATGACGAAACTCATTTCCACTGATGTCACCGAAATCTCATAAAAATTCGGTTTATTTTTTAATAAAGTCTACTTGGCACTGAAGGTGATTTACTTCGGAGTTTGGAGCCTCAGGTGATTTTCTAGGGGCCCCCGAACTTCGAGCAGTTGCATATCACGGGACTACCCACATGACGGTTAAAGGGCCTTAGACTACCGCACGTGAACTTGTGAAATCTCCAAAAGCGTGGTTGTCCTCATGCAATTCCTCGTGTTAATCGACAAGTCATTGCAAAAGCTCCAGAAATGTCTTAAGCAGACTTTTTTTCAAAACTTTTGCATGTTTCCAATTTGTTCCTATCGAAACTCTTGTACACAAGCTGAAGTATAGCTAAAACTTGCATTCTCTTGCGTGACGGAAATGGCTTTTAGAACGACCTTGCTAAAAGGCAGTTTTCATTACGTGAACATAATTTATATTTAACAAGCTATATATATCGATGTAATAATTTCTACAAATTCTGCCATGTTAGAAAATGGGCAAAAAGCTGGTACATAGCAGATTGCTCTTCAAAAAATTCATTTTAGAATTAGAGCGAGCGCGAACGTGATTCTTCACATGTGATATACTGCGTTGTTGCAACAAAATAATATTTTGCGTTAGATGCTCTGTTGACTCACTCAACCTTGGGAAAAAGTAAATTGGGGATGGAAATATAGATTCAAAATTTTGAGCAGTTTAAGGATAGATTTCTTAATTTTTCTGAATGCTCGCACGTAAAACACTTACGTATACATAGGAGCCTAAGGAAATTGAAGATTTTTTTTTGTTAGAGTAGCTGTCAGTTGCAGCTTTTTTTATTCCAAAAACAGCGAGCTTTTCCTTCAGTCTTATCAGCACAAAACTTCATTTTCCTTTTCTTCAGGTTAGAGAAAGATAGGAATATTTGTCATTTGCAAAGTGGCAGTAGTTAACGGGGTCGTTTTCAAATGACGAAAATCACGTTTAGACTTGTGTACTAACAAAAGAGTCAAGGTCGATTGCATATCATATTTACCGGAAATTGAATAATTGGTAAACAGACTACAGATAATCGTCATTAATTTCCATAAATCTTCTATATTCTGTTGAACCATTTATTGAAGAGAAGAATGCACTGCATCACGTAAAACGAATTCTTATAATCGTTATAAAAATTAAACTTGAACTTTGCCAAAGAGGAATTCTTCTGGTCTACCTGAGTAGACTATGGCTATAACTGCCTGGGATCATTGTTGGTAATTGATTTTAACTTGTTTTCAGATAAATAATAATTTTTTTTTGTGACATTGTCACTCGGAAGATAACTTCTTAACCTGTCGAATGAAATTTTTTTTCCATTAAAAATTTTGGTTCGTGGAATAAGCATCAAGATTTTCATGAATATTATTGTCCTCAAAATATTTTGGTTTCCTTTCAGCGGAGAAGAAATTTGAAACTAAATTTGCCTTTCTTGTTGTCGCCCATGAATTTCTGCATGTTGCGTCGCGGGTTTACGTGACCAGAATGTAAACTCGTTGTACTTGACATATCTTCAACCATTTCCGTTCTAAAACGTTAACACCAAAACAATAAAATGCTGTTGCTTTTGTAAGTTGGCAGAGAGCCTGGCTTTCCACTGAGGCAGACTTCTTCAAAATTTGCTTTTCTGCATGTGTCTAACTTGCTTCCCTTCTTGCTTGCACAAACGAATAAAGGACTTCGAAATTTGAAACTAAATTTGCCTTGTTTGCTGTCGCCCGTGACTTTCTGCGTTCTGCGTTGCGGGTTACGTGACCGGAATGTAAACTCGTTTCACCTGACATATCTTCAACCATTTCTGTTGTATGAAGTATCTACTTTCGTAAAAGCATACGAGAAACTTTTAATGCCCAAACAATAAAATGCTGTTGTTTTTGTAAATTATCGGAGTGCTTGCACGCAAATTGAAGAGCCTAGGCAAGAACGAAGAAAGGTGTCAGCGACAGGAAGCGAAACTCTTAAGGGAAATTTGTAGTTTAGGAAATTATAAGAGTCATGATTTATTTTCTTAAGAGCTAGCGTTTCCCGTAATTTCTCCTGAAAATGGTATCAACGATCTTCATATGGTAACATCAGACACAATTCTGTTTATCATCGCCAGTTTACTCAGTTGGGTTTAGGAGGCGTTGTTCGTGGTGGAATTTTGATTAGCAGCGTTGGTTTGAGTGAACTTAGAGTTTTTCTTAAAATATCTAAATCATCCTGTCACGTTTGCTGTTACAGGCTGCACTGTTGGGACGATGTATATTTAAACTCCAATTCCTTAGAGTAGATCTTTTGGAACGAGCTGTTTCCCGGTCGCTAGTTCCGTATAAGACTGACTGTCTGCAAATACTTGACAAAAGGAAGTAATTATTTAACGATTCACAATAAAATATATGCAACTTAAATTATTTTAAATGAGTTAAACCCTCTTAAAATTTTTGTAGTAAAGTATTGCTTTTATAGGTCAAGAAATGACATTATCCCGAAAGGGATACTCAAATATATATTTTTTTTAAGATTTCGGGGGAATCAAAAGTGCTTACAAGCACAATGCTCATTTCGTGAAATTCGCTGGTCGGCTATTTTCATCAACGCAAGAACACATGCAGCTGTCTTTTACGTGATGAAAGCGTTCTAACAGCATAGTCAGCGATCTTCCAAAGCTCAGTATATGATAATTACTGAAAAGCATATTTTAAAGCAAGCAGAAATTTTGAAATCGAATTGGTGAAAGCCGCCCTTACACGAAATAAGGGAATCACGTTTATCACAAGTTTTATTAATGAGCAATTGCATTTATTAAAAAATATATGTTAATCCGTATCCAGGTTAGCCATTCTGTCATTGTTCCAAGCAAGATAGATGTTTATTTCCTAATTTATAACAATTCATGTATTCTATTTAATATTTAAGCCGTTTACAAGGCGTTTAAAGATCGATCAAAAGTTAGTTGGAAGGGGAAACTCTTTAGACGCTATGAACGTTTAGATCAAACCCCTTTACTTGTAGAGGGAATGGGTTGAGGAACTTGGTGCATTTGCGGAACTTTTTGAGGGTCTTTTTTTTTTGGGAGGGGGTGGAAGGAGAGGAAAGTATTGTTTTATTTCCAACACGAAAACTGTCTAGGGGTCGGCGAGACTAAAGGGATTTTGTTACACTTGGCTGTTTTGTTTCCTTGTGAATAAATTAAAGACGTTTACAAAGGCGTAATTTCCCAGTAACATAGGAAGTCCTGCAATTTCCGTCAACATGTCGGCCGCGCTATGTAGTAATCTATATGTGTCCATGCTTCTTCCAAAAGCATAAATTATACACTATTTTCTCCGTTATGAAACGGAATGAGTTAAGATTTATTCGTCGTGCAGCATACCGCAAATATAACCCTAAGTCCAATTAAAAAAATAATAATAAGAAGAAATAATAAATAAAAACCCTATGCAATATCCAGAATTGAAAATCCAGCAAAATGTTCATGCTGATAGGTAACGTGAATCGATCATGTGTGATCAGAATGTTTATGGCTAGCGGGTTGAAAGCGAGACGGAAGCTAGAAAATCGGTAGGTTTCCTTTGCTGCGGCAATCGTACTCTTTCCAAGTTTGTTTCAGATATAGACCACTTTGTACTGAATCGGCTCCAGACTTTTCACAAAAGGTGACTTCGGAGTTTTACACATAAGTTATGAAAATTTCAAGTCCAAACATCTCATTTACATCACTCGAGCTAAAATTCAGTCTTATCTGCGGCAGAGGTTTGCATGACCATTTAAGGTCACTGCAGCATATAGCTTAAGACGACATTTTTTAGGCTTAAAATAAATATTCAGAAAATTCTATAAGATTACGAAATATAAATTGCTAACAGGTATAAGTTTCCTGTGCGTTTTATTATAAATAGCGTCAATTTTCAACTGAAACTTGGGAAATTTATCTCTTTAGGTATTTCAACGTGGGAAATTTTAGGACTCTGCGTCACAGAAATAAAAAACAAATAAAAAGGGAAAAAAATGACTACCACTAAGTCGGAGTAAAAATACACAAATTCG